AACCACAGACATGCCCCAACGACCTCAACTATTCAAGCGTCACAAACTTGCTCACAGCTAAATATTCACTTTTCACTCTTCTGTCCTTTTGTCAAGAAGCTACTCGAGCCTCACACTCAGCACCCAAGCGGTACCACAGGCACGTCACAATGCCGGTCGACTACAGCAAATGGGTATGGCGCCTCCATCGCAAGCTCCCCCGCACTTACACCGTTGCGGAAATACTGACACTATACCTCACAGGACGCGCTGGAGCTCAGCGATGACTCGGATGTCGAAGTACACCCCAATGTTGATAAGCGCTCCTTCATCCGCGCCAAGCAGAACCAAATCCACGCAGAGCGTCAGCAGCGGAGGAACCAGATCGAGACCTTCAAGTACGAGCGCATCATCAACGATGCCTTGATCAAACGCATCTCGTCCCTGCTCGCCTCTCTCAAGTCGCATGCTGCCGATGCCCAGTCGCGCAACCCCGGCGAGGTTGCCTTCCAGGCTGTCATAGAATCAGCCGCATCACTTGACCCCAAGGACGACCAGCCGCCCCCGCGACCTGCAGGCGTGCACAATTCCGAGGAGAAACTACCTTCATATACCAAGATGATGGCCACACTCCTAGACCAGGTGAACAAGGCATTGGACGAGAAGAAGGTCGAACAGGACAAGCGATATGAAGCAATGCTTACCGAGGTCGGAGAACACCTTGAGAAGGTGACCAGTCTACAGTCGGAGCTGCATGCGAAGCTCGCCGAGCTGGAGAAGGAGGAGGGTCGCAAGATCACCAGCGAGGGAATCCATACCGGTTTTGACAGCTCCCATGTCAACAAGTCGGCGCCTTCCACATCATCGTCAGCGGCCAAGGCATCACCAGCCGTTGAGCTCCTCAACCCCAACTTCACCGCCGGCTCTTCTACCGAATCCAAAAAGGCCACCGACGACGACGATGACGACAAGGAGATTACCGCCTCCCCCAATGCCAAGAAGTTCTCCTTCATCAAGATAGGATCCTACCGCGAGAGCTTGGCCTTCCTGTCGGAGCACCCTGAGATTCTCACCGAGGAGGAGACGGATGGCCTCTTGATCCTAGCCTTCGACGCCCAGCTTGAGAACCGCGAGGAGTACGCGCGCAACTGTGTGCACCAGGCGCTCCTGCTGCAGTACTGCAGGGCGCTTGGGCGTGACGGCGTTGCCCTCTTCTTCAAGCGCATCACGACGCCCGGTCATCAGGCACAGGACGTCTTTCTCAAGGACGTACGCGACACCTACGGCAAGATCAAGACCCGTGCCGCCGAGATCAATGCGCAGCGGGCTCAAGATGAGGCTGATGGAGTCGAGGGTGGGGTTGAGCAGATCCAGCTGCACGCCGTGGAGCCGGGCACGGTGATCAACATCAAGATCCCCCCTGCGGATAGCGAGGATGAGGCCGACAAGGCCGCACGGGCGATCTTTGAGAGCTTCAAGCCCGACATGAAGAAGGCGCTTGAGACGGGTAAGTTGGATGAGGTGAACAAGGTGCTAGGCTTGATGAAGGTGGACGAGGCGGAGGACTTGGTAGCCAAGTTTGGTGACGTGAGTTCCACCCGTCTATTCTCTGATGCATGAGCATAGTGCTGACAATTTACCTTGCAACAGGCCGGTATTCTGAGTCTCGAGGATGAGATTATTGATGCAACGACAGAGGAGGGAAAGCAACATTTTGAACAGCTTTTGGAGGAGGCTAAGGAGGCTCATGGAGAGGCTCATGGAGAGGCTCAAGGAGAAACCAAGTATGATGACCCAGAGTAGGCGTTCGTGTTGACGATCATGACAGAGAGCCGCAAGGCAAACCGAAAATCCGGAGTTGGTTAGGAGTTCTGAATGTACTGTATCTCTGTTTTCCACTGCACTATGTCTTCTTTTTAGGGATGAGAAGCTGGTATCGATGGTCAGCGATGATCCTATTACTGCACACGGCGTTCGGCCATTATATCGATTCATAGAAATACAGACTGCTTACAAAGAACTCTGTGTGCAACGCTAAGTTAGTAGTAGTAGGCTTTCAAGAGTCCATCCTTCTAGCTATAGGAGCAGCACGCTGCGCTCCAATTATCCTAAAACGAGCCGATATTTCCGTTGGTGCTTCGTAATGGACCGTTGTAAACATTTGCTGTCGCCATAGCCGCAGGAAGGTTCACGGTGTTCCCCAGATGGGGCTGTGACTTGCGTAACTTGACTAAGCCTTGCGGCTGCAAAAAGATGACAATACGAAGCAGTCTGTGTTTGAACTTTGGGTTCGGGCGGGCGCTGTCTGGGCACTTTCTGCGGGATGCTTGCTGATGATTGCTTCGCCCAAAATAACAGGCCCTGTCCTTGTCCGTTGGGCTCTGGAGCTTCTGGCCGGAGAGATCCGCTGTGGTGGCGCCAGGGTTGGCGTCCTTCAGGGTCCTCGTGGTTAGCCTGATAGGGGAAGGCGAGGTGGCACAGGGCTGCAGCAAGGGTTCGGGCCTTGCTCCAGGTTCCGCCAACCGACCATCGTCAACTGTCAGCCATTCTCTTCATTCCCCAGATTTCCTTTTCCGACTCTTGAAGGACTTAAGCGATTGCGAACAACTTCGCGATGGCGGCGGGGCCACTTGCGGTCCCTGCGGTGCGCGGCCTTTGCAGTGTGGTGCGCCAGTCTTTGCGTTGCGATGCAACTGGCTGCAATGGCGAACTTCCGATGTGTGGCTGCTTCGCTTACCTGCGAAATTAGGTGGGGAGTGCAGGCGGGCTGCATTGATTGTGCAAGATGTAGCGATACGCGCGGGCCAGCCTATTTCTCGACCGGATTCGCTACCAACCGTCTTTTTGACTGTGTACCCGGGCAACGGCAAGAGACGGCGTCTGACTAGTTCAGGCTGGGGGGAATCGTTGAGCAACGCTCGCTCGGGACTTGCGGGTATCACTGGGCTGTGGGTGCTGCGGACGTCTCGGAGGGGTTGAAACAATTCCCCGTGGTCTTGGTATTTACCCACGTGTCTCGCTGTGTTTTGAAACCAGCCGCAGCCTGATGAAGGGAGGGAAGGCTCCTATTGTCGCCAGCCTGTCCAGCCCCAAGCCATCTTGCAAGTTGCAACGCTCACAAAGACGCCCTGACCATGGGGTCCCGAGACGGCTGACGTTGACAATGGGCTGGGGCGCGTGGGTGTGCGCGGCAGTCCCCACACAAATTCTTGGCTTGGATTCCCGTTGCCGCCCTTGCCCCCAATGAAGAGCATCCATCAAGGATTGGCTTCATGTCTTGCCAGAGCTGGGGCGGGATAGCTCCGATCCTAGCAGATCTTAGCGGTTCCCGACGACTTGTAACCCGGGTGAATTAGGCATAATCCCGGCCTTGACTCGTACTGTTGGACCAGAAGGCAGTTCTAGCGTTTCTGTTTGCGGATTATAAGTCAAGTTCTCCCTTCACCGCACCCTGCCCGTTGCTGTTGACTTCTCTCTTGTCCCAAGAGACGCACCAGACGTCAATTCCACGACACCATGGTCCCATCACTGTTCTGGGCTGCTACGACACTCCTGGGGCTGGCCCCCGTTGTTCAGTCAACTCCCCAGGGATTTGGACTCACAACATCCACCAACACACAGCAGCAGCCTGCCACGAGCACCGCGGCCACGACCATAGTAGCAGGGGCGAGTGCCGCTGCCGCCTGTAACAACTCGCCGCTGTTATGTTCGCGAGCATACAATAACGTCACACACATGGGCGCCCATGACAGCGCCTTCCTGCGTGATGCGAGCACTGGTAACAGCATTGCGGGCAACCAGTTCTTCAACGCAACCGTCGCCCTCTCCGCCGGCATCCGGCTTCTGCAAGCCCAGGTTCACGATGTCAACAATACTCTCCGGCTCTGCCACACCGATTGCTCTCTGCTGGATGCCGGTCCCTTGGCAGACTGGCTTGCCAAGATCAAGTACTGGATGGACCAAAACCCCAACGAGGTCGTCACCCTCCTCCTTGTCAACTCAGACAGCAAGCCCGCATCCACACTAGGCGCCTCCTTCGACTCGTCGGGCATTTCCACCTATGGCTACACGCCATCTTCCACAACTGCCACCACCGTCTGGCCCACGCTCCAAAACCTCATCAGCTCCAACAAGCGCCTAGTAACCTTCATCGCCCCGCTCGGCACCGCGTCCCCGTCGCACCCTTTCCTCCTCGACGAGTTCACCTACGTCTTCGAGACCCCCTACGACGTCCGCTCCCTCTCCAACTTCACCTGCACCCTAGATCGCCCGTCATCCGCCGGCACGGCTGCCTCGGGCCTCGCTGCAGGTATGCTACCGCTCATGAACCATTTCGCATACACCGAGATCACCTCCTCCATCACGGTGCCCAACGCCGGCGACATCGACACGACCAACGCGCCCTCGACGGTGACCACGGGCGCGCTCGGCGCGCATGCCAACAGCTGCAATGCCGCGTGGGGCACCAAGCCCGTGTTCGTGCTGGTCGACTTTTATGACAAGGGCCCCGCGGTTGACACGGCGGATCGGCTGAACGGGATCGTCCCGACGGGGAGGAAGTCGAGTGCCGGGGGCTCGGCGACGTCGGGGTCGGGGTCGGCGAGGGACGGCGGGATGGGGTGCGTGGCGTTGCTGGGGTTTTTGGTTGCGGTCGTGGTTATGGTGTAGGGCTGGGAGACTGGAATTGTGTGCATAGCCTTGGCGTTAGGGGGGGATTTATCATGGAATTTGGGTCTTGATGCGTCCCCAGTAGGGTCGGTTTTGGTTAGGATATAGATACCATATTGGCAAGGTAGATAGGTACACCCATCTTAGTATCAAGTGGCCAAACTGTTTGTTGACTAGCAGTGCGCGCGAGATGTAGTGATGCTGCTTTACAACATCGGACCTAGTTCAAGTTGTTGACGCCTTCCCTGCATATTAAGAGCCCCATGGTGGTGTGAGAGGGCTTCAAATTGGCGGGCGGCCTGGTTGTGCTAGACAGTAATTGTTAGTGCGGCAGATTTTCAACAAATAAGAAGGCGCGGTTAGTTCAGTGGTTAGAATCCTTGCTTCCCATCTTCATCTTGATAAGCAAGGGACCCGAGTTCGAATCTCGGATCGCGCAGCTGTCAGCCTTCCTTTTTGATTATTTTTGCTCCTTGTGAATTATTCTTTTTGCTGTGGCATAGAGTTGTGTGGGAATGAAGTTTGTTGATAGGAGTGGGAGGAATGTTGGAGGCTAGGTACATGGAGTAAATAGACCCAGGGAGGAGGGCCTTGGGCATCGACAATACCGATCTCTACATCTCCATTATTCTCCCTGAATATTTGCATGCTTGCCGAATCTTCACCCAAGGACTGCCTCTACGCGGGAGTCAACACCCAAGGCTTGGCATTCCTGTATCTAACCAGCCCCTGACTATCTGTCTTTGGGTGGTGGACACCCTTTGGGCTGTGTTTGGCAAAGGCAAAGGGTGCTACTTTAGCATGGTGCAACTGGACAGGAGGTTTGATTGAGAAGGGGTGTGTTATTGCCTATTTCGATCTTATTGTCATAAGGGACAGTGCCAACGCTACAGTCACCTCGCAAACATATCAAGTCCCGGGACCTTTCCCTTTCACATACAGGAGGTAGGAGCCATGTTATTCTAGGTTGTTCTGGGGAAGGTGGGGGCTACCAGAGTGGGCGTATGTGCGATCGAAATCCAGGGCGGCCCCTTCCTTTCCGGTCCCGGAAGATTTGTTGAGCTCCCATCTTCCCGTTAGTTTTACAGCGACCTTGAGTAAGGTATCTTGGCACTGAGGAAGAGCTACCTTAGCCAATAGCACTCGGCACAGAGGATCCGGATCGATTCATCCAATGTTTACACCCCCCCTGACTACAGCGCACGGGAAAACCAGCCCTACGCCGGCGAGCTACAGAGGCCCACAGGCAAAGGCGGGATGGCGCGCGATATTTCGGGTTAATTTCGGATTTACTATGGGATGGTTTTGTGGTGTTCAGACGGAGGCTGGTGATGCCATTCTGGGGTCACTAGCCCTAGCCCTCTTTTTATCAACGACCACAGCCAGAATCACATCGTCCCATTCCGTGATTCACATACCAAACGCGGCGTATTTCCCCTCAATTTCCCGTCATTATTCACAGCAGAAACAGCCTCGATGTTCGGGTAAAGCCGGCGATACCATTCAGGGGTCTTGACTGGCGAGAAAGGGGGGGGGGGGGGAAGCGGTCGAACCTCACCTCCTTTGAGCTACAAATCGTCTTACCTGGGGGTTCACACGTGATGTATCACATTACCCCCCACGCTTTTTCACACGGTGACAAGATCCCAACGACTAACAAAAAGAGGCGATCACGATACTTGGAGGGCTTTCGTGATGGCGTTCCGAGACTCTTGGGGGTGAGTGGGCGGAGGCATCGCGAATGCCTAGGCAAGCAAGTTGATGAGCACATCATCCCATGTAGTGGTTCACATTTCAAACGTGGTGCCTTTCATCTTCTGTTGCTGCTGAGGACTGAGGACAAGGCTTCCGCTCTTCTTAAAAGCAGGCCTCTCCCTCCCCCTTCCACGACTTTTCTTGATATCCAGCATTCACTCATCTCTCACGTCTCTCACCAGAATTCACCCTTCCTTGGCAAACCAGGATTTAGTCATACTTCACAAAGATGTTGTCGAACTGGGAGTTAGAGGACTAGACTCGCTCGAGCCCCATTGTTTATTTCCCCAGCAGTGCCCCTAGGTACTTATTGAAGTGCAATTCTCAAGTCTCCGACACCAACCCGAGCTTTTGCACTCACCACTCCCTCACGAAGATTCTTTGCCCCTATTCATAATCACTATGCCCGGAACCCCCCCCTATTCTCCTACCGCCACCACTGGCAAGATGGTGACGCCCAAGTCCCTTCTCGACATCTACGCCCAGCAGACGCTCAAACTCCACAACGAGTTGGGTGTCTCGGAGAACGCGCGCAGACAGCTCCAGGCCTACGACGACTGGCAGAAAGGCCGCATCGACCGGAACGAGCTCGTCGGCCGAATCGTCCGCGTGTCCCCCAACATGAACCAGACCGTCATCAACACCATCACCGAGTGTGCCGAGATTATGCACAAGCACGAGCGTGTCAGGCATTGCGTCGCCACCATTCAACTGTGCGCCGACATATTGACGCCAGCGGGTATGTCTATATATACGGCCTTGTGTAAGCCATGGTTGTGATACTGATGGCTAATGTTCACTCAAGACAAAACTCCCGTTGTCAAAGGATTTCCCTTCTTCAAACTCCCTATGGAGCTCCGTGGAGTGGTGTATAGGAACCTCTGGTTTCGAGACCAGAGCAACGTACGGAGTGTATGCATCGTTGCCACATCCAAGGACGCAGAATGGTAAGCACTCTCCCTGCTTATACCATCGACACAGGCTGACAGCATTGTGTAGCACCTGCCTTGGATATGAATCCCGGCCGCACCACAGCCGCGAGAATATTAGCATCGCCCTTGGGTTGACGTGCAGGAAGGCCAGGGCCGAGTTCTTCACATTCATGTACATGTTTGCCCGGCTTACCTTCGAATGCTGCTGCGACCTGAACTACCATCTGAGGGTCAACAAGGACCTGCTCAGATGTGTAACAAGTATCAAGGTGCACTGGACCGGGGCCGAATCCCACCTTGCGTTTACCAACCTCAGCAAAGCTCGGAATCTTACCCGGCTGGAGGTTGTCATCTCCCAGTCGACAACCACCATCCCCACCCTGCGCGAGATAGACATGCGCAGGTATTTTGCTGTGCCCCGGCCCATCCGTCTGACCGAGACTCTGGGCATCGACGAGCTGATGGAGATCCGAGGTATCAAGGTTCTCGCCGTGACGCACGTGGGCCAGCGTCAGGGTACAGTACGCAGCAGCGAGGAGGACCGAGTCAATCTGCTCGCCCTGCTGAGTGCTAGCCTCAAGCTTCCTCGTCCGGCACTGCCCCCGCCCACCGCCGCCACCGCCGTGAACGGGGCCAGCAATAATGAGTGAAGGGTGTGGGATGATGGAGACTGGTGGTGGGTGCACCGTGGTGCCTTACTTGTGGATATAGGGGTATTTGCTGGGGTTATGAGGAGTTCATCTATTTTCTTCCAATGCTAATAATAGAGGGGAGAATACCTTCCCACGCCTGGCACGACGCGTGTGGGATCGGCCAAAAAGACATTAGCTGGTGTTCGGGAATCCCTTTAATATACCATAGGTACCCCTTTTAATTTAATTTCGTTGCTTTTTATACCCATGCCGGACATGCCATAGGTCTTTCACTCCACCATCAGTTCCTTGGTTCTGTACGTGCTTGGAGGGACAGAAACGAAGACGGACGGAATGATCTTGGCTAGACGTGGCTCACATCATTGACGGCGCAGTTGCAGTCGCAGTATCCGCAACACTTTGGCACATCGCCGTCACCGCCCGTTTCTCCGTCTCCTGTCTGGGTTTTCCCTGGGGTATCGTTTCTCAACACGCTTCTCCGAGGGGTCATCCGGGCCGAGCGGTCTGAACCCGTTGTGGGGATGATAGAACGAATGCTGCTATTGTCGGTTTCAACGGTTTCGGTGGAATGAGATCTACCGCGCCGGGGATGGGGAGCCGTGACGCCCAAGCCGGCCGGGTGACATTCACAGGCTTGGCCGTGGTCCGATGGGAGATGGGCCTACGCCAATCGCCCCGATCGGACCGCAGCCGAGCTCGGAATACCGCTCACCGGGCAGTCCTTCAGGCTCTGGTTCCTGAATCGATCGAGTCTCACCGGTATCTATAACTGGGTGGGACAAATGTAAAACCAATGACAAGCAGTCATAACGCACGCGCCTACCAGGACAATATTCACAGGCTAGCTGGGAGCATTTATCACCAGGAGCCGTGATGATGTAGCAACAGATAAATTACGAAAGCCCTCATGTGGTAATAGAAGGTTACGTACTCAATAGACATTGCTATATTGTTCTTGTCTTGTACGCCTGAAGCGTATCCTAGGTTCAAGATACAACCATGAAATTTGTGGGTTGACCGAATCAGGCAAAAGACCGAAGGGCTTAAGTTCTTAAGTGATAGCAACTGCTCACTTGAGGACAGTTGATGAGCCAAAGGGGGTTGGGCAAAGCTGTTTCATGAGAAGGGAGATGCCTGTGAAGACACTCACAGTGTGACTGCCTCGTCATGGATGGGACCCAGACCAAGCCGTACCTACTGAGTTGCACCGTGACTACTACGTCTCCAGGCAGCCAGTTCCATGGTGAGGGGTTTGGCTGAAGAGCTGCGGGCCGGCTCTCTGCAAGGCAGGAACCGGCAAGCTATACTGAAGCATCGCAAAGCCTGCCTCCTATCCCCGATCGATGGAGTTGTGATGTCCAGATCGAAGCGTGAGGGAAGTCATATGCAGTGTCATAACACTGCGAAAGAAGCAGCAAGGTCGACTCGGCAAGATGCAGTGGCATTTTGCGTTGCGTGTCGCAGGAATGGAAATGGAAAGAGTTTGAGCTTGGATGCAGTTTTTGATGTCAGAAAGTTCTTCCCCGTGGTTGGGAGAGTGGATACAACGCTGGCAGCTGGCAATCGAGCTATGCTTACCCGCCAGCTGTCGCTTGTTGTTTACCTTGAATTGCCTGAAACCCCAGACTCAGACCCACAACACAGCACTTTGCCATGGCCGAAAATGCCAGCAGCGTCCCATCTATTGCCCCAGATTTCAAAACTGTCAAGTCCAACCGACTTGCTCCTACTATCCAGGGCGATCAGAGCCGTGGAATCGTGGCGCAATTGACTCTCGTCAATGCCTTGGCTTGACAAATCCATGCCGGTGATCACGGCGACTGCTCGCGTCGCGCTGAACGGGCACAAGATATCTACATTCCAAAATCCTGGACAGCCAGATGTGCGCGGCAAGAGTGGTCGTCGTTTATGTGAGGCTTGTATCGTCTCGGAACTGTTCAGGACCAGGTCGGGGAGCCGCACACACATACGACCATTTGCCGTTTCTGACCACATGCTCCGTTGTGATTGGTTTGAGCTGAGTCGGGGAAGGGGAACCGACACGGGGCCTATACCGTTGCTGGGTTATGATCTGTGATCTATGATCTATGATCTTCTAC